ACGATGATTGGGTCAAAAATGTGACCACTAGACTGTTCAGGTTTTTCTATTTTTAGCTCCTGTGACCTAGTTTTCCACCCGAGATGACCCATGTTCAAACTCATCCAAACAATTGACTAAACAAGCATCCTGACAAGGTTTCTTAATAATTGGGTCAAAAATGTGACCACTAGAGTGTTCACAAGGTTTTTCTATTTATAGCTCCTGTGACCTAGTTATTCATCGGAGATAAACCATGTGCAAACTCATCAAAGAAATTATCTAAACAAGCATCCTGACAAAGTTTGATCATGATCAGGTAAAAAATGTGACCACTAGAGTGTTCAAAAGGTTTTTCTATTTTTAGCTCCTGTGACCTAGTTTTTCATCAGAGATGACCCATATTCAAAGTCATCTGAGCAAATGACTAGAAAAGCATCCACATTAAGTTTGATGATGAGTGGGTAAAAAATGTGACCACTAGAGTGTTCACAAGGTTTTTCTATTTATAGCTCATGTGACCTAGTTTTTCATCAGAGATGACCCATATTCGAACTCATCTGCGCAATTATCTAAACAAGCATCCTGACAAAGTTTGATGATGATTGGGTCAAAAATGTGACCACTAGAGTGTTCACAAGGTTTTTCTATTTATAGCTCCTGTGACCTAGTTTTTCATCAGAGATGACCCATATTCGAACTCATCTGCGCAATTATCTAAACAAGCATCCTGACAAAGTTTGATGATGATTGGGTCAAAAATGTGACACTAGAGTGTTCACAAGTTTTTTTATTTTTAGCTCCTGTGACCTAGTTTTTCATCAGAGATGACCCATGTTCGAACTCATCCAAGCAATTGATTAGACAAGCATTCTGACCAAGTTTGATGATGATTGGTTCAAAAATGTGACCACTAGAGTGTTCACAAGGTTTTTCTATTTATAGCTCCTGTGACCTAGATTTTCATCGGAGATGACCCATGTTCGAACTCATCCAAGCAATAATCTAAACAAGCATTCTGACAAAGGTTGATGATGATTGGGTCAAAAATGTGACCACTAGAGTGTTCACAAGGTTTTTCTATTTTTAGCTCCTTTGACCTAGTTTTCCATCCGAAATGACCCAGTTTAGAACTCATCCGAGCAATTGACTAAACAAGCATCCTGACAAAGATTGATGATGATTGAGTCATAGGTGTGACCACTAGTGTGTTCACAAGCAATTGTGGACGTACGACGGACGACGGACATTCACCGATCCTAATAGCTCACCCTGAGCAAGCTCAGGTGAGCTTTTAAAAAAGTATAGAATACTTTGTTAAAGTTTTGTTTAACAATACTTCTTGCATTCAGATCTGATTACATTTTCTAGTGAACAGTTTGTTTTTACACACTTTCTGAGTTTTTTTTAAAGTTTGTGCAAAATAACGAGAATAATATCAAAACTTATCAGGTACCCTTAATTAGTTTATGATGTTCAGTAAGTGTACGTCTAATATGGATCTTTTTCATTGTGGGATATTCCAAGCTCAAATTTATCGGATATTTTACCATCTGTAGCTCCTTGTTGGGCGTTACTTTTTCCGGGAGTTCGAAAATCAGATTTTAAGTTTCAGCTATTTTGCGGGGTAATTGAACTAAATTCAGTGCACAGTTACAGGAGTTCGGAGTCGCGATTGTAAACTCTTTTCAAGAGTTTTATCAGATAATTACAGTTAAGATATTATAATTGATTAAATACAGCTTTCCCTTCCTGCAGAAAACAGCAAGCACTACTTTGAGATATTTTCATTGTACAAGTCATATTTTTGCTCCTTTTTTGTGGTGGTACGTGTGTGTCGGGGAGTGGGGTAGGGAGGGGGCTTTAGTTTTGTCCGGTGCTAGAGGGCGTGGACGGAAAGAACGATATTTTTCTTCTACTTCTTTCTTTATTTTTTTGCCTTTTTCCAGGACTTCCAGAGAGAATCTGAATCGATGCTGATTAACTTTGAGTCGCATTTGACAAAGCCTTAACTTTTAGTATTAATTAAACGTTAACGTCAAATGTTTGCAGTTTTTTTTTATCTTACACTAATTGTTTCACTGCAAAACATATGCACCGGTCAATTGTAAAAAGTCTCGGAGTTTGTGCCAGAACTGATCCTTTTATGTGAAAAAGATGGGCATATTCCACAATAATGTGCGGGTGTGTGAGGAGTTCACCGCCGAAGCAAAGGAGTACCCGTCGATTTACTTTAAAAAAAAAGCAAAAATAAAGAGGATAACTTCTGTCACAAATCAAAGAATTCTCGTCCAGTAACTAATTACACGCCTATAAATTATTGCAAAAGTGGCGCTTTACCCAACAAATCAAGCACTTTTCATTAAAAATATCATGACAATTTTATGGAAATGGTGTCCAGATATAAATTCCGGTAATACCAGCGGGCAGTGGCTATCATGTCGCTCACTTGATTGCAGGATTATCCGAATGCGTATTTTTTTTTTCTTTTGGCTTTTCCTCATACCATCATATAAAAGGTCATATGGTTACTTCTTTTTCTTTTGGCTTTTCCTCATATCATATAAAAGGTCATATGGTTACTTCTTTTTCTTTTGGCTTTTTTCTCATACCATTTAGAAAAGGTGATATGGCGACTTTCTAGTATCTAAGATAACAGTAAATAAATGAAGGCTAAAAAACCCTCAACATTTAGTAAAGATTACCTTGACCCCAGGAGAAGTACATACGATGTTTTTAAGAAATTGGCCACTTAATGATGACTCAGTGACGTAGCTCTTAAGCTCTTTGCAATGACGATCATGATGACACCGGACAACTTAAGCACAGTACCGTAACCAACATTTACTGGCGGTACTAACTCTGTGGACAAATGATTATTGACAGCGATTGTCCTTATGAATAAACATCTCTGGACCATTTATCAAGTGCTCCCTATATCAAACAAATGGCTTATAATTTTCCCAGGCAGCGATCGACCACAACAGCTCTCATATCAGTACTACGTGCTCAGGTGACGTTATGATGTGAATACTGCATATGTTCTTTACGTCAGTCGTGACGTTTATACAAACTATATACACGGATGCTGTGAAATTATGATGTAATTTATTGTTTTCCTCTGATAAGGCAGTTGTTTTATGCTGTATAACAAGTTTATATACGATTCTAAAAAGGAAATATAGCTGCTAAAACGGTTGTTTCATAATATTGCTCAACTAGCAGCTCAAGTTATCTTTGGAAATGGGTCATATAACCTGTCAAAAATCTTTATAACTATTAAATAATATATGAGCCGTGTCATGACAAAACCAACATAAAATGTGTTTGCGACCAGCATGGATCCAGACCAGCCTGCGCATCCGCGCAGTCTGATCAGGATCCATGCTGTTCGCTTACAAACTCTATAACCAGTATAGAAACCGATAGCGAACAGCATGGATCCTGATCAGACTGCGCAGATTGGTCTGGATCCATGCTGGTCGCAAACCCATTATGTTGGTTTTGTCATGACGCGGCTCATATTATCTTTCAAAGATAATGCAAAATGTATCATTGCAACGTTTCATACAAAAACCTTTGGTAGCGCAGAGGAGAAAGTGGGTCGGTGAGTGGGTAGAGAAAAGTTTAAAAGGAAAACAAAGATTATGAAATCTTAAATAAGTTCAATGTCTTTTCACCATGTTCATAAGCTCCATGTACAAAGCTTAGCAGTCTTGACTTAAAGCAACATGTTCTAAATAAACCCATATGAATAGAATTTAAAGCATGCGGTATTATTGCTCGTCACTTTTGACTAAAATTCAAAGTTAAAAAGGGGCACAACTACAAGAGGGCCATGATGGCCCTGAAGTCGCTCACCTGTATATAGGCCCCCGGAGCGAGGCCAGTTTAAACCACAGGGCTTTTATTTGAACAAACTTTGTAGACACCCATTAGAAGATGTTTCATGCTAAACATCTAAGGTCTAGCTGGTCAAGTTTTTTCTTTACACATATAGTGAAAAACAATGACACACCTGGGACAGGGCCAGTTTTGACCCCAAGGGCTTTTATTTGAACAATCTTTGTAGACACTTACTAGAAAATGTTTCGTGCTTAATATCTAAACTCTAGCTATTTGAGTTTTTTCAAAGAAGATTTTTTAAGTTTTTGTTATATACACATATAAGGAAAATGAATGACCCCCGGGGCGGGGCCAATTTTGACCCCAGGGCTTTTATTTGAACAAACTTGGTAGACACTCACTAGAAGATGTTTCATGCTTAGTATCTAAACTCTAGCTATTTTGTTTTTTTCAAAGAGATCTTTTAAGTTTTTGCTATACACATATAAGGAAAATCAATGACCCCCGGGGCGAGGCCAATTTTGACCCCCAGGGCTCTTATTTGAACAAACTTGGTAGACATCCATTAAAATGTTTCATGCTAAATATCTTAGCTCTAGCTCTTTGGGTTCTTTAAAAGAAGATTTTTTAAGTTTTTACTATATGCATATAGGGAAAATCAATGACCCCCTGGGGCGGGGCCAATTTTGACCCCAGGGCTTTTATTTGAACAAACTTGGTAGACACTCACTAGAAGATATGTTTCATGCCAAATATCTAAGCTCTAGCTTTTTGGGTTTTTTAGAAGAAGATATTTAAAGTTTTTTTCTTTTGGTTGCCATGGCAACCAGAGTTCTGCATGGAATTAAATTCTTTGAACAATTTTCAAAGGTGACCACCAAAGAAACATTCCTGTGAAATTTGGATGAAATTGGCTTAGTGGTTTATAAGGAGATGCCATTTAAAGTAAAAGTTTACGGACGACGGACGGACGGATGACGGACGAAAAGCGATCACAAAAGCTCACCCTGTCACTTTGTGACAGGTGAGCTAAAAAATATTGCTTTCAGAATAAATATAGCTTTCAGAATTATGTCCCTTATCTATCTTTTTGCGTGACGACTACAACGACCATAATCACCCGACTTTTTCTTTGAAACAGATGAGCTGAAATGATTTATTATAGAGAAACCATGTATGTACAAACATATTTAATGTTTATTACACTGTAACATTGTTATCCTTTTACCAAGGTAATGCATGGCAATGCACTTTTCATCAGGTATACACAACAATATAACAACGTAAGAATGTCACATTTTCTTATTAATTGAAAATATAAATGAAATGAATTGCAAAAGCATATACGGAAATGTTGATACTTTCTTGTGAAACTGCTCAAATATCATACAATTATAAAAACTCATTTACATTATTTACATAATTATACACTGTCTAGAGACGAAGGCTTTGGAGAAAAAATATAAATGAATGATTCTATAAATACGTTAATTTTAGACATTGGACCACTATGAAATGTGCTTTCTTGCAAATTTATCTCCATTTATAAAGTTAAAAACAAACACAAAAATCAACTGTCATTAGACAAATCAAACGTTATACTACTTGAGCTGAATAAAGACATTTTGACTAAACGGATTATGTAAAATGAAGTACACAGTTAATAGTCAGCTTAAAAATCACTTACAAAGGCAAAAGTTCAAACTAACTACTTTCTCTCAACATGTTGCCTTTTCATGTAATGTAAAGAATGGCAAGTACTCAGTACGCCATTGATCAAAACATATAGTTTTAATATATATACAATGAGCATATACATAAATGAATTTATGAACAATTAAATACCAGTTTTACTATTTCCTTGAAAATCGAGTCGACAGACTCCTGTGTGTACATTATTTAAATGTCTTTCACAATATAATAATTTTTATGCACTATTTCTTCTTTATCTTTAAGTACGGAAAAACATCAGTTTTTACTCTGATTTGTGTTCACTGGCAACTCGTTTTTCATCGTGTAATTTCATGTACCTGAAAATATAAATTAAAAAGTTTATTACATACTTGTACTTATATAGGAAATATTGAGAAATATTAAATTGATGAATTAAAATGTGTATTTTCATATTCCATATTTTTACTGTAAAAAATTTTTTTTTTCAATGCAGTGAAACATATTTTCCGTATTTTCACTGGTGTCTTGCCCCGACTAGTTTCTTCTAAATTCAAGCAATATACAACATTTCATGGATCTCTTTCAAACTGTATGTCAAAAAGAGAAAAATATATTTATTAAACAGAAAATGCATGTTTTTTTCTATAAATACAGGATTTATTTTCATCTCGTGGCATGAAAATTCTTATATTTCATATCTGTATGTTCAAACAACTCGTTAAAAATAAATCTTGTATTTATAGAAAAAAACTTGAATATTCTCTATATACATGTAAGTAATAGCGATTTTAAGATAAACCGTAAATGCATACAAGAATTCAAGAAAATACAGAAATTGGGCTTGAATGTTTTTTTCTTGTTTATATTTCACATTGTATCCTTGAATATTGTATAATTACTGTTGGTTTTGGTGGAACATAAATTATAAAATCTTCAATCAGAGAGATGATTGGCGTATATAGTTTTTTTTTTTAATAACAAGAGTTCAGATCGTCAGTGGGCCTGTTATACACACCTGCACAAAGGGAAATTTTGATGAAACTCCTGTTTTAGAGATGAAGATTTTTACATTCTTTTTATTTCTGAAAGTCATTAGTAAACGGACGCCCCGTACTTTATACATAGTTCTAGACAATAAAACAATCCTATCAGTTTGTCTTCAACATCATTTACATTGTCATTTTTTATTCAAAGGATATGATTTCAAAAAGTTACATGTTATGTTAATACAGAAGAAACGATTTTATTTGTTGGGGTCTTTTTTGCCGATATTTTTTACCGAGTATATGAAGGACTGAGCTATTTTTAACACTAAAACGTGACTGGTAAAGAATAGATGTCACAAAAGCAATGGTAGCCTACAGTTTGCGTTTGTTTGTTAAGTTGGATTTTAAGCCACATTGACACTGTAAGTGGGTTATGACGACTTCCAACTTTACTGCATGCTGGCAGAATATCTCATGTGCCTCTTCGTGCATTGCTTCATATACCAACAGGCACTGGAGTAGAACCATCTAGGCGGATAGTTTCCTCACATGAAAGGATCCAAAGTCCCCAATGGGATTCCAACCCATAGCAGTGAGGGGCAGTGGTTTGAACCAATCGGCCACGGAGGCCCCCGCAATAGCACATACATATAATACATACATGTATTTGTTGGGTTTTTTTTGTCCATGTACTCGTAAAAAAGATTTCAACATGTTCCTTCAAATATATATGGGAATTCCAGCGAGGTATGTTTGACAAAACAGTTTTTATATAATTTATAAAAACTAGTATATGTAAACCCCTATGTAGTATTGTAAATGAATATACGCTTTGGGCCATATATTTTCTAACAAAAGGATTTTCCAGTAAGTCATTGTAATGTTTGTTACCTAGGACTGAAATCACTTAGATTAAACAGAAAATGCATGTTTTTTTTCTATAAATACAGGATTTATTTTCATCTCGTGGCATGAAAATTCTCATATTTCATTCGTGACTACCGCCTATCACTTAGATGATAACATTAGAAAGAATTTGTAATACATCCAGCACATATTATATATATATATCACCATAAGGCCTCTTTATAAACAATCGATGCTTCTTTGAAATGTTTACACATCACATTGGAACTTTTATAATGCCATAGTAGAACTTCCAAAATAGCTTATATTTTGTCAAAATCTACAATAGTTGGAAAATGCTTATTCATTTTTAGACATTGAGCCAAACATCATGTTGTACCGAGTACACTTTATGCTTAAACAGAGTTATGTTTTTTTTGTACTGCATTTTTACTCAATGAGATCAATCTACCAACAAAGTTTCATGTTGATATATATCTTATAATTTTAGAGTAATTTCCCAGACAAAGTTCAAAAAGTAAAAATATACAAAGGGCAATAACTCTAGAATTAGGCAACGCAGAGTTATGATTCTTGTGCACTGCACATCTACCCATTGAGATATATCTACCTACAAAGTTTCATGTTGATATCTCTTATAGTTTTACAGCTATGTCCTGGACAATATTTTTCTAAAAGGGGAGATAATTAAAAAATGAGGCTAAACAGAGTTACGGTTCTTTTGCACTGCACTTCTACTCAATGAGATCTATCTACCTACAATATTTCATCTTGATATCTCTTATAATTTTAGAGTTATGTTCCGGACAAAGTTCAAAGTGTTAAAATTAACAAAGGGCAATAACTCCAAAATTAGGAAAAAAAGAGTTATTGTTCTTATGCACTTCACATCTATCCATTGAGATCTATTCACCTACAAAGTTCCATGTTGATATCTCTTATAGTTTTAGAGTTATGTCCCGGACAAGATTTTTCTATAAGGGGGATAATTCAAAAACCGGGCAAAATAGAGTTATGGTTATTTGACACTGCACTCCCCCTCAATGCCCTCTATCACTGTTTGAAGTTTAAACAAATTATCTTCAAGGGTTTTCAAGTTATGCTCCGGACAAGACAACGTACGGACAGACAGACGGACAAGGCGCCGACTATATGCTCCCCCGAAATTTTTCGGGGAGCGTAATAAAAATAAACTTTGTCATGATACTTATACGTATAAACATTGACCACCTTAAATTGAGTATGATCAGATTAAAATAAATCATAAATAAAATTGAAATTAGTTTGGACATAGTTAATTACAGATAACAGTTAAAAGCAGTACATGTATTTTAATATCAGTTTTAATTTTTTAAAGTTGAAATACTTAAGCTATGAATGAATGGCAACAACCAACCCTCTTAATCATATCATAAAACAAAATAATAAGCATATTATACTTGTTGTAATTCTTCTATAAACATTATTATCTTTATTCTCAAAACAATGATATACAATTAATGTATACATGTATTCATCTTACCTTAAAGAACTACTTTTGAAAGCTTAATGGTCTGGTTTCTTAGAATGTTTCCATTTGTTGCGGCTATCGCTCTCTCTGCTTCTCCACGTGAACGAAACCCAACAAGAGCAGTACTGCAGTTGGGTTGATCTTTATTTTCACCTATATTCAATCTGATGGATTCAGGTGCAGGGTTATATCCTGAGAAAAAGTTCATGATTTCCCCTGTAGAGACATTCTTTGGCAACTGTTCGGCTTTCACATAGTAGAAAACAGCTTGCGAAGTCGGGGTTTCTGGTTGTAAAGATTGTCTCAGCAAACGCATATTCTCGATCATTTCCGGTTTAGTTACAGGTAAAACTGTTATCTTATTTTTGTTAATGAAAGTTCCATTTTTAACTAAGCATTTTTGCACCTCTACATTTGAAGTGAATTCTAAATAACCCTCACCAATAGCTTTACCAACTGCATCATGACAAATCTGAGCTACTCGTACATTAACACCCACTCCTTCAAATAAATTGCGTAATTCAAACACTTTCAATGATTTTGGAATATTTTGCACCCGAACACAAATACATGCTGGAGATAACTTTACAGGAGATGATGGTTTCGACTGTTCAGAATTAGAGGCACTAGTGGCTTTTGAATCTGAACTTGAGACTTCCTTACTTTTATTTTCTGCATCTTTGACATTACTATTAGCGTCTTTATCAACAGGTGCATTATTTTTCATTTTATCACGTAGTTCATCCATATCCTTTTTACTTCCTTTTGCTATTTTGATAGTCTTTCTTTCAAACATTCGGTTCAGATCAATAGCTTTTTGGAATGACTTTTCGTCTGCAAACTCTACATAACACAACCCAGTACATGCCTTAAAACGGCTTGACTCAATAACTATCGCTTCACCATTGTTGGCAATTTTAAAATCGTTTTGAAAGTATGACTTTATGTTCTGAACTTTGGCATATTCTGGTAAGAGTGTGATCTTTACAACTAAGTCATTTTGAGACGCTGTTGACTTCTTTTGAAGTTTTAATTCTGGTTCACCTTTCAATGCCCTTAAAGTTGCGCTTAATGAATTACACATGTCAATATCCGGTGTTACGTCATCGTCATCATCAGGTGGGAGATATGAATCAATAGCACTATCAAAACTTCTCCTAGGAACAGGTTTGATAACAATGACTTTATTTCCTAACCTACTTCTATCTTTCTGCAGTCCTTTCTTGAAGGATTCTTGAGTCCCAAACCTTACATATGCTTTTCCGATACGTTTCCCTTCGTTGTCGTTTATAATCTTGATCCCATCTTTAGACAGCTCCAAACCTGCAAAAAGTTTGCGAATATCCTTGTAAGTTGTTTCAACAGGAATGTTTTCTAATACAACTGAACACAACGCATTTTTCTTCATAAGTTCTGGCTCTATCATAGATACAAAATTTTTCTCAGAAGATATCGTCTCATACTGATTTTTATCGTTTACTTTTGATTCAAGTGAGGTAGACGATTCATCAATACTACTCTTCCCATCTCTATTTCGATTTTCGCCAGTTTCATTTCCCCTTCCAGCTGCATATTTAGAACGATCTCTTTCAAATCTGTCTCCATGACTTTCAATGTTTTTATCATTTCTATCTTGTTCCTTTGATCTACCTTCTCCGCTTCTCCGATCTTGGTACCTTTCGAAAGATCTATTATCATGCCTATCTAATCTGTCAAAATCCCTTCTTTCAATATTCAATGGTTGTTCTTCAATGTTTGAAAAACGATTTCCCCTTTCCTGCTCAAAATGACCCTTTCCTCTATCTTCTTGGGAATCGAAGCGGTTTGGTGGACCATTAAACCCTCCACGCATGTTATTAAATCCGTGTCCTCTAAAACCTCGTCCTCTTAATGGTGGCCGGATATTTCTAAACCCTGCTTGTTCAGGATTAAAACGTTCATCATGTGGACCTCCAATTTCATAAAAATTTGGATCATTTCCACCTCTGTGAATTTCATTTTGATCATCCCTTCCAAACGTATCGCGTGTATGCCCAAAAGAAGGCTCATTTCGAAACAAATTTTCAGGACCCCTTTGTAACGGCAAACCTCTTTCATTTCTTGGATAGTCAGGTCTCTTTCTGTCTTGAATATCATCAAACAGACCTGGCATTTCATTTGCCGATCTCTGAAATTCATGAAACTCAGACTCTTCTCTGTGTCGCTCTCTAAATTCATGTTGGACTCCGCCATCACCTAAAAGGCTAGGACGACCCTGGAAATCTTGATTTCTTTGAAAAAAAGGTGTACGGTTTAAATTGTTATCGAACAAATTTTCTTGGCTTCGATTTATTCCTTTAAAGCCTGGTGGCCGACGATCATCAAAAGTATGTTCCCTATCTATATGCTCAAATGACCCCGCCTTATTTGGTTGTACATTCATGTCATGTTGGTTTCTGTTAAAGAAAAGCGGATGTCTAAACCGCTCTGGGTATTTGTCTCTATTTAAGTCATCATCTCTCAGGTAATACGGATCTCGGTAATTTTCATCATTTTTCGATCGATCTCTTTTTTGCTGCCCAAACATCTCACGTGAATTGTCATATTCATATGCTTCTGGGTGTTCATCCCTACTTTGACCACCAAACATATCCGTTGGATGAGAGCTTATATCCATAGCTGAATGTAGAATTTTATCCTCTCTGAAACCAAATTTAGGTTTAAACTCGTCCATTCTTGAATCATTAGTCACATGACCCACAGGTGTATCTAAAAGAGGACCTCCGTGCTGAACCATGTTTCTATTGCCAAATCCTGTCAATGCAGCTGGTGCTTCACCAAGTAAGCCTTTGCTTGGTTTTGATGGTGGAACAACTGGGAATAATGCTTGTATGCCATTACTATTTTTCTTTTCTGTATCTTTCAATGAGGAAATACCATAATTGGGAGGGATTGCAGACCTTTCTTCTTTATTTGCAGCCATTTCCTTAGCTGTAACATTTAAAGGTTCGCGCTTTTCAATTTGGTCTTTCTTTTCTGGTTCAGACTTTTCTGTTTGGAATTTCTTTTCTTTCTCGTATTTGTTTTTATCCGTTGGCGACAAAGACCTCTTTCTTGTCTTTCGAATTGAATTAATTGATGGACTTCTTCTAGGGTCCCTATCTCGGCTCCTATCATATCTTTCGTTGTCACGATCTCGTGTTTTTCTGTCATTATCTCGATCTCTATCTCTTCTTGACCTTCTTTCATCATCTCGGTCCCTTCGAGGTCGTTCACGGTCCCTCTCTCGTCTATCGCGAGGGCTATCACGCCGATTTGATCGGTCACGCGACCTGTCTCTCTCTCGGCTACTTGTTCTGTTCGATTCTCTGAAACGTGAATTAGTTATCTTATCTTTTTGACTGGTCTCTTCCAACTTCTCATCTCGCGTTGGAGTTCTTGAAGAATCGCTTAATTTACTATCACGTCCAGCAAATGGAAGATTTCTACCGAACTCATCTTGCTTATTTGATAAAACTAAGTTCCCAGCACTTTTACCTGACGTGAGACACCTCCCTTGATCAATTTTATCTTTTTTCTCACTAGTGCTACATATAGTTGATCCAGTCAGACTACTTGCAACCTTTGGTTGAGACAATGAGTCAGATGGACCTTTTGTTGCCATGTTTGCCGGAGAAAACCTTGATTGGCGTGACTTTGGTGTCACAGCGGATGTCTCTGTCATTCCCGACTTTGTAAAAGTTTGATCAAATGAACGACTTGTTGCAGGCAACTTGGTATTATCTTGAGGACTTAAAACGGGGAAATTCTGACGAAGTGATGACTCAACATTTGACTGCCTATCAACAACACCTTGTGAAAATCTCGACTCAGCTGAAAGATTAGGTTGATTCTTCAAATAAACGTCGCTTGGAGGATTGTATGGGTCATTTGATCTGTTACCAGGTGGAAAATGAGGATCAAATGGCATGCTGCTTGTCGGAAAGTTAGCATTACCTGGTGGAATATTTGGGCCACCTTGTCTGCCAATTTGCGGAAAATTAGCGTGTTCAGATATTTTCGCATTAGTTACAAGATTAGCAAAATTTGGTAAATTGTCAAAATGTTCCATTTTTAATTGTTTACCATGACCTCCAATATTTTTATTAATGTGCATTTGGTCACTTTGAAAAATATTACCATGACCACTAGAGCTTCTAGACGGGTTTACATATGGGGTGTTTTGACTGTTTTGATTTAGATTTTTCTGTTGAAAATTACTTTCCCATGATTGACTTTGAGATACAGTTGCGTGCATGTCAAGCTTTTGTGGGAAATAAACTTCACCATGAAAATTATTCTGAGGGCCTGGGTTGCTAAAAGTATTTTGAACAGTAGTTGCATTCTTATTTCCTGGATGCAGCTCATTTCTCATCTCATTTGTATGAAAATGACTTTCTAATTTTCCAACCATACCGTATTGCCCTAAGTTATTTGGTTTGATTTCAGACTGTTTATTTATTCCTTGAAATCCACCAACAGAATATTCACCCGGTAAATCATGTTCAAACTGTTTGCCAACGTTCGATTGGACGTTTTGCTGTTGCTTATTTATAAAACCAAATACTCCAGATGGTTGTTGTAGTGTTCCATGAGGCGTGATACTTTGTTGGTTTCCACTTCCAGGCTGATTGGTATGCATGGACTGTGGCGGTTGAATACCCAATGTTCCCATTATTTGTCCTACAGCAGGGAAAGCACGAGATATTTGTTGAACTGAAGGTATTTGTTGACTTAACGTAGTTTCATTATTCATTGGCGTTGCATCTGTTAAAGTAACGCTTGTGGATTTATCCTTCGCTTGCGAGATTGTATTCTGCATTTCAGTTTTACTACTCAAAAATAATTGTACTGGGCTATCGTTAAGTGGTTTATTAGTAAGCATCATTGCCTGTCGGGCATCCTCGTCCGTTGAAAATGCTATAAAGGCATCCCCATTGTCTCCACCAATAATACGCACACCCCCAGGAGGAATACTAAGGCCTTTGAAGAAATTTCGTATATCCATCGCACTTGCAGACCACGACAATCCCTGAAGTCGAATTATCACCGACATCCTTGATTCTGAAGAAAACATATATAAGATAAATACAAAAAGCACGGATACAATCTTCAAACCATTTAAAGGACAGTAAAAAGAAGCAGTATGTTTAAGGGGTACGTACATGTGTTATAACGTTATAACAATGTAAATTCATATCTATTAAACTAAGTTTAACATAGTAATTTATGACAACCTTTGAAACAAGTTTTACGGCAACTATATATTAAGCATTTTGTTAGTGCAATGTTAAACATGGAATTTAATTACAAATTCTTTTAAAATTCTTTAAGAAACACTCCCACAGAACAGTGTTATAATATGTACATCTGTATACAAATAAACGCCGCTTTAATGTATTTACTTGCAAATATGCAATTCACAAGATTTTTTTATATCGCAAAGTTCAAAGTGAATATTATTTTCTCATTTAACGCGTGTAATATGCGCAAATACTTGATCAGTCCTGTAAAATTCATTGAAATTGCATACGTGGTATAAGAGGAGTATGAGACAAACTTGTTACCTTTTTTTATTCATGGGCAACTCGGTCAAAAATCATTCAAGTGAATAAACACGTGCAATATGCCTAAGTACTTGATTTACCAATCAATTCTGTAAAGTTTCATTAAAATTGCCTCAGTGGTATAAGAGCAGTAGTCCGAACAAACTTTAAAAATTAAAATCATTGAACGGCCATACATCTGCCAAAATGCCGAGGATATGCGAAACTAGCCTTGGTACTGAAGGTACAAAATAACAAAAAATATCGAACGACACATATGCCCCACATTCTAGCCCTTGACTTATAATGTTGAAATTTTTGTTACAGAAACATGCCAAAAATAGGAACATGGAAGTGTTCAACTAACTTTGACATTTGTGAGACTTGCCATTCAAAAGTTATTAATCGGAAACGACTTTTATATTTGAGATTACCTGTGGCCTTGACCTGTGACCCCAAAATCAAACAAGAAATGTCAAACGACACATGTGCCCCCCCTTTCTAGCCCTTGACTCACATTATTGGTAATTTTGTTATAGAAACTTGCCACAAATGGTTACATGGAAGTGTTCAATTATGAAAACTAGAAATGTGTCATCATGCCACGGATGCCCCCGCATGCAGCCAAAATTTCAGATGTTATAATATTTAGTTCCAAATTTGTTTGCACAAATTATTTTTTTCATTTTAAGTTCAAAGCCCTTAAAACTTTTCAATGTTAACACAAACCATTTTCATACAATGTTCAAGGCACTGAAAATATTTAGTCTTAACCTTTTGAAAATAGCATATTGCATATTTGTAGCCAAAATAATGGCTACATACATTTCCACAAAAGTATGAGTGCTGAAACTGAAAGTTCAAAATGTTTCCAACATTCAGGAAAGATAAGTTTGTCCAAAATCATCGGACCACGACCAAATTCAAACTTCAAAACTGCTTATTCCTAAGATGTATCTATATTATTTTCAAAGTGAAAGGGACATAACTCTGCCAAAAAATCATCAAACCATGACCAAATTCCAACTTGACCTGCCCATTCCTTTGACATATCCATATGTCAAATTTGAGTTGAATATGTAACACTGTTGGGTAGATAATGAACAGAAACTGTAAATTTCATATTATTTTCAAAGTGAAAGGGGCATTACTCAGCCAAAAATCATTGAACCATGACCAAATTCGAACATGGCCTGGGCATTCCAAAAACATATCCATATGTCAAATTTGAGTTGAATGTGTTGTACCGTTGGGGAGATAATAAACGGAAACTGAAAATTTCATATTATTTTCTAAGTGAAAGGGGCATCACTCTGCCAAAAATCATTGAACAATGACCAAATTTGAACTTGACCTGTGCATTCCGTTGACGTGCCCATATGTCAAGTTTGAGTTGAATGTGTTGTACCGTTGGGGAGATAATGAACGGAAACTGAAAATTTCATATTGTTTTCAAAGTAAAAGGGGCATAACTCTGCCAAAAATCATCGAACCATGACCAAATTCGAACTTGATCTGTATTTTCTCATTACATATCCATATGTCAAGTTTGAGTTGAATATGTTGTACTGTTGGGGAGATAATTAACGGAAACTTAAAATTTTATATTATTTTCTAAGTAAAAGGGGCATAACTCTGCCAAAAATCATCGAACCATGACCAAATTCGAACTTGACCTGTATTTTCTCACGACATATCCATATGTCAAATTTGAGTTGAATGTGTGCAACCGTTCTTAAGATAATGAACGGAAACTGATGATGACGGAATGACAGAATGACGGAAGGACGGAACAGGGTAACACTATATGCCCCGGCCATTACATGCACAGACACTTGGGGTTTGGAGCTCAAAACGCCTTAAAAATCCAAATAAAATGCATATTTGTCAATCCCAGCACATGTACTGATCATATATATCAAAAAAACTTAATATAAGCCGTTTTGAAAAAAAATCATATTTCAACATCTATAATAATACACAAGATAAAAATGTTCGCCGGAAAAAATCCGCACCCCTACCGTCATAATCACCATGTATTTTATTCCATTTCCAATATTTTCACATAATCCTTTGGTTCATCGACACAGAAGATATAATTCTTCACGATGATGGTCAATTTTAAACTTCAACGGTAATATAAACAACGCAACAGCCGAAATAAACATCAAGATTATCGCCGTTTTCCTCCAACTACAAAATCTTTCGATAAATTCAATGGACCAGACGGCTATGAACGAAGCTATCCGATTATGTGGTTCCCAAACTTAAAAGCACTGCTTATTTTGCACACGGCAAAGCTGGGGCCACATAATCGGATAGCTTCGTTCATAGCTGTCCATAGTCTGGTCCATTGAATTTATCGAAAGATTTTGTAGTATATGAAGACTTTGTGATAAATAGTAACCAAGATAATAAGCGGAAATCATATTACCATTCAAAGCCCCTATGACTTTGACCTTTAACCTAGTGACCCCCAAATCAATAGGGGTCATCTACTAGTTATGACCAATCAATATGTGATATATGAAGACTTTGCAATGAATTGTAACCAAGATAATGAGCTGAAACCATTCTGACATTTGAGGCCCCCGTGACCTTGACCTTTGACCAGGTGACCCCAAAATCAATAGGGGGCATCTAATAGTTATAAACAATATATACGTGAAATATGAAGACTTTGTGATGAATACATTTCAAGATAATCAGCTGAAACCCTTCTGACATATAAGGTCCCTATAACCTTGACCTTTGACCTAGTGACCCTTAAATCAATAGGGGTCATCTACTAGTTATGACCAATCAATATATGAAATATGAAGACGTTATGATAAATAGTAACCTAGATAATAAGCAGAAACTATTCTGACATTTAAGGCACCTGTGACCTTGACCTTTGACCTAGTGACCCCAAAATCAAAAAGTGTCATCTACTAGTTATGACTTATCACTATACGAAATATGAAAACTTTGTGAATAAAACTTTTCAAGATAATCAACAGAAACCATGTACTTTACCGCAAGACAGACCGACATTAGCAAAAGAATATACCCAGTCTTCTTCGTAGGGGGGGGGGGGGGGTTCTCATGAAAGGTCATCTACTAGTTATGGCCAATCAATTATGAATACGTGAAATATAAAGACTTGGTACCAATTGATCTCAAGAGAATAAGCGAAAACCATTTTTACATTCAAGGTTATTGTGACCTTGACCTTTGATCTAGTGACCTCAAAATCATCTTTAAGTGGTGATCAATTAAAATGTGAAACACAAAGACTTGATAACAAGTGGTTTTGAAGATAATGAGTGGAAACCATCCTGGCATTTAAGCTACCTGTGACCTTTAATTTTGACCTAAAAGACTCCAAAATTGATATGGGTTCTAGTTATAACCAATCAATATGTGAAATACAAAGACTTGGTGATAAATAGTTTTCAAGATAATGAGTTGAAACCATTCTGACATTAGAGGCCGCTGTGAACTTGACCTTTGAACTAGTGACCCCGAAATCAATTGGGGTCATCTACTACATATGACTAATCAATATGTGAAATATGAAGACTTTGTGATAAATATTTTTCAAGATAATGAGCGGAAACCATTATGAAATCTAAGGCCCCTGTGACCTTGACCGTTGACCTACTGACCCCAAAATCAATAGGGGTCATTCACTAGTTACGACCAATCAGCATATCAGATATATGAAGACTTTGTGATATAGAATTTTCAAGATAATGAGCGGAAATCATACTGACATTTAAGGCCCTGTGACCTTGACCTTTAACCTAGAGACGACATCTCCATGTGTCATCTCCTTGTTTTGACCAATCTGTATGTGAAATATGAAAACTTTGTGATATATATTTTTTAAGATAATCAGCGGAAGCCATATGGTCTACCGACGGACAGACAGATCGACCGACAATAGGAAAACAATATACCCCCACTTCTTCGTAGGGGCCATAAAAATCATAAAAGGCCCATGACTCTGACAAAAATCACTGAAGCAGAAAATTCCGACATTATGCACAACAAGACTTGGTACTGATCATTTCTCTAAAGTTTGGATGCAGTTGCTGAGGAGTAGTCCAGTAGTCTGGACAAGCTTCTGTGTACCTTGGAACACACACAAAAACCTGCAATGTCCTTACAGAGTTAAATAAAATTATGCTTATTACTGTCTTCTCAAGCTATTTATCAGTCGAGGGTTTTACACAAAGTTTCACATGGACATTAACCTTTTACCTCTACTACTGGGCGAGATCAATGTCCCTTCTAACAATAACAAACGTAAACTTTTTTTCGATCTGACAATGGTTTAATATGGTGTCCCATTCATGTGGCCATTCATCTCGCCATTACCTTAAAATCAATTCAAGGAATAGGCCCTATCCCAAACTTAAGACTTCTTAAGTTTTTTTATCACGCTATTAATTGTGAAGGATTTTACATACAGTGTCACGTTGACTTTGACCTTAATGATACAGAGAACTAATCTTCTCGATATGGACAATA